AAACTATGCTTTCGTCCAGCCGGTGTGGCTCAGTGGTTGAGTGTCAACCCATGCATCAAGAGGTCGCCGGTTTGATTCCCAGTCGGGGCACATGCCCAGGTTGTGGTCCTGCAGCGTGGGGCCCAGGGTGGGGCATGCAGGAGGTGGTCAATCAATGTTCTCTCTCATCGATGTTTCTATCTTTCTCTCCCTCTCACTTCCTCTCTCTCTAAAATCAATAAAGAAAAAAAAATTGAAAGAAAACTATGCTTTCTTAATTCAGTCCCTTTGAAATCATACAACTGGCCTTGCACAAAAGGTGTTTTCTGGTTTGGGGTCTGGGTAGCAATAATTCCTTGCTCTAAGGAACTCTATCCCGTTGTGTGGCAAGGGGTGCAACTGGGGGGGTGCATTATGAGCTTTTATCATTCCTTTGTCTCCTATCTAGTAGCAATTAGACTCTTATCCTTTCCCTCTTCAAACACCATGACACCAAACAGGAAGAGCCGGGAAGGAAGAGGAGAAGGTGGGACGCACAGATGCAGGATGCTGTATTGACTTGCTGAGTCACCTTTCAGTCCAGCAAGCTGAGAAAGTGCTTTCCCAAACCACTGACTCCTCGACTGCCGTCCACGCTCATAGTCCGGACCCTGAGTTGAAGAAGGGGGGAACACGGCCCCAGAGCCCCAGAAATCTGGGGAGAGTGAGGTTTAGCCCTTAGTTTTCATTCTACATCTAATAATCTCATAGGGTGTATTTCAGACGTATCCCAAGACAAACAATATTGGTCCCACCCAGTTGTTGTTGTTTTTTTAATGATGAATTTTTTTATATTATCTTGAAAGATATGCCCTGGCCCGTTTGGCTCAGCAGTTAAAGCGTCGACCTGCGGTCCTGAGAGACCCGGGTTCAGCTCCCGCACACAGCTCTCGGTTGCAGTTTGTCCCCGGCTCTGGTCAGTCGTGCGGGTGGCAGCCACTCGATTTGTTCCTTTCACGTCGATGTTTCTCTCTCTCTCTCTGTTCCTCTCTCTCCCTCCCACTCTACCTGAGCAAAGAATGGAAAAATGTCCTCGGGTGAGGATAAAAAAAAAAGAAAGATAGATTTCATGTCATGATTATTGGTACTAATAAACATGTGACTAAAAAGCACTGATAAATACTAATAATTATTGGGAGTATTACCAATCTAATTAATAATAATTTAAAAAACCCAGAGCCTTAGATTTTCTTTGCCAATCTGTGGGGATAGTGTCATCATCCACAGGAATGGATCAAGATCACTTAAATTTGTACTAATTTCCAAAATCCAGATATCTTTCAGGGACATTTGATATATATTCAAACCAAATACAGCAATAAAGTATCTCCAATAAGGAGACGGATAACGGGCTGGCTCGTGGGCTCAATATATACTTCCTGAGCACACCTGCACGCTGCACACAGCTCACCAGCCCGTGAGGATTCATAATTGCACTGTGAAAACATCAACAATGCCCGTGGGCCTCCAACTGTGCGGTCTCAACCAAGTTGACAACACATTCTCCTGAGCTTACTTTCCCACAGTGATTCACCCTGAGAGAGATGATTTCACATTAACTTTCATTTTCTCCAAGCAGTGTGGGTGGGGGAGAGAAAGAACGCAAACTTTGTTTCCCAGTAGAAAACCCACTGGTTTGGCACCGTTCAAGGAGTATCTAATTCTTTTGTTTATCCCAAGAAATAACAGTCCCCTCCCTCCTCTTTAATTCCCGAAATTATGATCTCTACAAATCACTACTTGGAAGCGCTAGAATGCTGGATTGTATGCAGGTTGACATGTAAGTATGGGAACAGTTAACAGTGTTCTCAGCGGCCTCACATGGTGCGGCTCTCACACACTTTCGGATGTTTTCCTCCTTGTTAGATGGAAGCTTAGGGAAACGGAGCAGGGTTTCAGGTTGGCAGAGCAGGATCTAAGTCTGCTCAAGGCTGCCAGCACTCTGAAAGGACTGGGCTAACTGGGAATTTCCTCATTGCACTAAGTTAAAAAAAAAAATGCATCCTTTAAGAGGAGTTGAGACCACAGAGACCATGCAGTGGTCTCCTTTGCATGGAACCAGACTTCTGTGCTAGTTTTCAATGACAGGTGCTTAACCTGTAAGGTTTGGATACATAAACCACAAACCCAACCTCTCTTTTGTTAGCCTCGAACAGTCAAGTGATCTTGATTTCATGAAGCAGAGACTTGAGGCAATTATCTGATCGCTCAAACTCAGAAAACCGAACTTTGGCTTGAACCATCCAGAAAGTGGCCCCCATTAGAAAAGTGCCCAGTTATTATTAAACCTCTAGAAGCCCAAGTTTGACAGAAATTCTTTTTAAAATGCCTTAGAGCAAGGCTAACATCAGATTTATCTTCAAGTTTTTTGGGTTTTTTTCTTTTGCAGGAGGGAGGGGGAGAGAGAGAGAGAGAGAGGGAGGGAGAGAGATCAATGTGAAAGGGACACATCTGCAGGGCCGGGGACAATCTGCAACTGAGGTACGTGCCCTTAGCGGGAACCGAACCCGGGTCTCTCAGGACTGCAGGCCAACGCTCTAACCGCTGAGCCAAACCGGCCAGGGCTATCTTCAAGTTCTATACGTTTGCTCAGTAGTGTCCAGGTCCCTAAGCACATGTTTCCTCCCTGGGAATCAAATTCAGGAATCCCTCCGAATGCTTAGCTCCACAAGGAAATCAGCCTAACACTGCGCATCCTCCGTCAGAATGGGAAGTGGCGTTTGGAATAGAAGCAGGCACTGTCTTTGTTGAGACAGGCCACAGGGTAAACAAAATGCACCCAAGCAGAAGGTAGAGAATGTTCCTAATCTACAGTTCAGCATTCCTACATAGTGGAACAACTCAGCTTCCAATGCGGGCACGAATGGGGGGGGGGGGCTTTCTCAAGCTCTGAGTGCAGGAGGCACGTGGACAGCAGGTGGGGAAAGAAGTCAAAGTGAGCTGGAAGTACCTGAGGCATGAGGCAGTGAGAGCCAGCGCCAGGCCGAGTGGAGAGGCAAAGCTGAAAACCTTCCAAGACAGAGACAAGACCACCTGTTGGATGATGATCCTTGTTAGACGGAAAGCCACCCCTGGGGAACCCGTCCTCAAAAACAAGGGACACTGCAAAGAGCGAAAGGTGGACTCTTCTTTCCCTGCCAAACCCAGCGTGTTCTGAGGCTCCCTGCAGGCCTCAGCTCAGGCCTCTGCGTGGGAACGCATGGCGCCTGGGCAGGACGCAGTGGGAGTCTCCCACTCACGCTGCTCTCCCGGCCCCCAGCCAGCCCCAGGGATGATAAACGCACCCGCAACCCGCTGGGAGTCCAACTCCACACACAGCACTAAGAGCAGGAGAGGAGATGATTTCCACGACAAGCTACTACATGGCTTAAACCTCTGGCTCATCTAGACATTCCCACTGGAGGCCATGTGTGAGAACGGTCACTCCGAGAAAACGTCTTCATCACATGGCCTTGGAGCCACATTTTTTAGGCTGAAGACGCCTTCAGAAAATTTTTTTCTGTAGCCACATTTATTTATCGAATGCCATAATAGAGACCTGATAGCATGTTTGCAAACTCATTGAAATGCTTAAAATAACCACTTAGATCAGGAGTCGGCAAACTTTCTGTAAAGGGCCAGAGAGTAAATATTTGAGGCTTCGTGGGCCGGCCAGCAGTCTCTGTCTCAACTACAAGGCCCTGCAGCCGGAAGCAGCCACAAGAAAATGCATTAACAGAGGAGTGTGGCTGTGTTCCAATAAAACTTTATTTATGGACACTGAATTTTGAGTTTCATATAATTTTCACATATTATGAAATAATATTTTTCTTTCGCTTTTTTTTTCAATCACTATTACCTTGTGGGCTGTAGGAAACAAGTGGATTTGGCCAGCAGCCCCTCGCTTGCTGATCCCTGACGTAGGTGGTTGCTGCTGTCATGGCAACAACTACAGGACCACGAAGTTCAGTGACTGGCAGTGCTGGGAAAAGGAGGCAGCATGTTGGGGTGTCTTGCTACTCTAAAGCAGATTCCAGGACCAGAAGCATCAGCACCCCCTGAACCTGTCCCCAGACCTACAGAATCCAAATCTGCATGAAAAGAAGTTCCACACACAGATTATCTGCAGTTTGAAGGTTATGTTCAGGTTTGAGAAGGCTTGGCAGTGTGACGGAAAGCTTGGGCTCTGGAAATTACAGGCTCAATTCAGATCACTGGGCCTCTCACTAGCTAGGTGGCCTTGAACAAATCACCCTTATTATTTATTTATTTTTTTTTTTAAATTTTTTTCTTTACTGGTTTTAGAGAGAGAGGGAGAGGGAGATATAGAAACATCAATGAGAGAGAACATGGTTTAGCCACCTCCTGCATGTGCCCTGGGCATGTGCCCTGACTGAGAATCGAACTAATGACCTCTTGGTGCATGGCTCAACACTCAACCAGTGAGCCACACCAGTTGGGCTCATTCTTATTATTAATATGCTTGTTTCCACACCTAAAATGTGGGGTTGATGATCTATGCCAAACACTTAGTGCCTGGCAGGTAATGTTTATTAAATGCTTGCTATGATTCATTTTCTGTTTTGTTTTGTTTTTTGTTGACCCTCACCTGTGGATATGTTTTCCATTGATTTTTAGAGAGAGTAGAAAGGAGAGAAGGAAGAGAAGAGAGAGAGAGAAACACTGATGTGAGAGGCACATCGATTGGTTGCCTCCTGCATGTGCCCCAACCGGGGCTGGGGATTGAACCTGAAACTCAGGCGTGTGCCCTTCACCAGGAATTGAACCCACAACCCTTCTGCACACAGTCAACACTCTAGCCACTGAGACACACCAGCCAGGCCCATGATTCATTTTCATAAGCCCGCCCTCACACACACTCCTAAAGGCCACTTCCCACGGACGCACATTCTAGCCAGTCCCTGGAGCTGCACTCTGCCACCACAGCCCACCCCCCTCAACACTCCCATCGATGAAGCAAGGAAGACGCCACAAGTCCTGGCTGCAGAGTGTGAAATATATTGACGGTTGTAAAGGGACAAGTGGAGACATTTCAGGTCTGCCGAGATGTCGCGCAGCCCACACATGCTCTGTTTCTGAAACCATGTCACTAAAGTTCGCAAATTCATCTCTGTGCTGAACATGATGTTTTGTTTTGTTTTCATTAGCATGGTTTACTATGCTACAGCTTCTCCTAGAGCAAATACGTATAATGGCTTTTTACAGAGCAACTACAGACTTATTTAGATGTTTAACAAGGTGAACTATTTCACAATTAGGTCGGCCTTTGACTTCACAGCAAGATGTTTCTCCTTTGCTTTGCTCGCTGCTGCAGTCGCAGAGGGGTGGTGGTGGTAACTTTTCCAGCTTATTCTTTGTTCACATGTTTAGTCACCAACAGCCTCCGAAAGGCAATGAAAAACAACAGTCTGTTGAAAAAATTAAGCTGTCATCAGGCCATGGGATTTTCCAAGACCCTTAAAGTGAGATCATTTAAATTTACAAGAGAAAAAAAAAAAATATGCGTCATGGAAAACTAAGTCACAAAAAAAAACTACTAAAAAATACATCTGTCCAATACAGTGATCAGTTGTAAACAGCTGAGCGGGGTCAAGGAAACAAAAACTCCTTCTAGGACGTCAAGCAGTCCAATGACAAACTCTGCTTTTATTTTTTTTCTAGTGGCTATTCTCCTACCACAGTGTTGAGTTTCATTATTATATTAAATAACTTATACGGGTAAAAAGGAGTTTGCTAACCAGCAGCCAACTCAAAACCTCGCCAGAAGAGGGAGGAGAGGAATTCACAACACAGCACAACTGGGGGGAACGGAGTCCGCGGCCGCCTTCAGGCAGTGCCCCCCCTGGCCGCTCGCCCGGCTGGCCTCTGGGGTCTGACTGCAGGGACTCTTTTTCCTCTCCCTCCTCTCCCTTTTTCATTTAAGTTAACAAAGAAACATGGGCTTCCGAAGAGCCAGCACTCAGCTGGGCAAGTCCCATTAGCAGCAAATGTTCGACCAAATAATAAACACACACACACACACACAACAGAAAGCTCCATCCAGGTGCAGAGCTGTGATTCACACGGAAATTCCCGGCGATGAATCACGCGCAGCTCTGGGATCTTCAGAGGATTCTCTCTCAAGTGTCTTCAGTGAACATTTCAGTCTCACAAAATCTGAGTCAGCCTGTCAGCTGCGGGGAACAAGTTCTCCGTCCGTTCCGGAGTGAGCTTGCTTGCAGGACCTCGGGACTTTTCCTTGTCCTATATGCCAGACAACGAAGGCCAGCCCCTCAGGGACCGCGCAGCAGCAGCAGCCAGCACCCGTGTGTTAAACTCTGCCTAAGAGGCTCGACCTGAGGAATCAAAATGACAGTGTCAGAACAAATGTGTCCGGTTATTTGAAATAGGATTAAAATGCTTTGCCTAATACTGGTTTCGTTCTTCCTGTGTTTTAAGTTGTGGGTTTTTTGGTTTTCTTTTGTTTTGCATATTTAAAGAGGAAGAAAAAAAAACACTGAGTGGTGTAATCCTGGTGTTTAGGAGAACTGCTAGTCACTTAAGTATATATACATTAATGGAGATGGCAAAGCTTTGTCTATAGATAAATCTACACCTTGAGTGGCTTCATAGTAAAACAAACACACACATAAAAGAAAGGTCATTAACGATAAAAAGCTTTTAGATACGTATTGGTCTTACAGTAGATGGGTTTATTTAGTAAATATAAGCATCTTCACGTGTCATGCCCATTGAGGGCATTTAAGTGTCAAGTGACAGGAAAGGTGTCTGCCCTCAGAGGTGAATTTGTCATTTCCACAGCTAAACTTAAGTGTCTACGACCGGCTCTGGGGCCAGCGGGAAAGTGTCTATGTAAAATATCTTAACTGCCTTCAAAGCTAATGTATATACCAGCTTTCAGGTAGAGTAATTAGTCTTAGTAACCACTTAACATAGGTGGCTTTGCAAAGGACCATAACCTATTCTCTTTCCTTTATCCTCTCCGTAGTTGCTATGCCTCGGCCAACACCTGCAGGGGCCGGGTCTCATTCCTCAACGCTGCAGGCAGACCTAAGGACCGGTGCTGCTCTGGCTTATGTAGTAGGAGGGAAAATAATCACATCCACTGCAAAACAGATGTGACAGGCGAGGAAGAAGGCCTCAGAGTGTGTGGGTTTAGGAAAGAGACGGGTCAGGGAGCGGGAGGCGTTCCAGTGGGGCCTTAAAACTGGACAAGAGAAGGAAGAGGCAGAGTTCACGGCTTAAACCCAGATGCAAAAGAGAGTTTGTTCTTCAAGCCACCTTACAAATAATTTTAACATAGAAACTAGTCTTGTATGCTAAGAATACAGCTCTACTGTGTTTATTACATATTCCTTCATATACCACTCACTCTCTGACCACTGCTGGTCTCCCCGTGAATTCTGAGCACTCTTGAGTTGGGGGCCATGGTGGATGAATTTGTGGCTGCGTCTGAATTTTCTCCAGCACAGTGCAACCCCTTGTTCACTCCCCATTTCTAAATTCTCTGCTAAATGCTTGGGTCACCTTTCAACCAATCAAATGTCAACTGTTGCTATATACTGTGTGCACAGTACATAAAAATATGGGGAAAAAATTACATAATTCAACCTTTAGCTTTCACTATCAACCTTTTTACTTACAAACCCTTCCAGATGAACCACCACTCAAGAGGAATGTGGGATAAAAGAATAAGAATTAGAAGAGATTGACATCTAGAGAAGGGTCTGGATTATTTTAGTTTGTCTGGTTCACCGGGAATGCAGACTCCAGCAATCATTTAGTCCCAAATTCCATAACCCAGAGTGGGCATCAGCCCAGCAGGCTGCCACACGCCCAGGGTTCCAGGTGTCGGCCACACCTTCTTCATGCGTTTGGGGATAAAGAAGCACCTCCGATCTTTCACCTATCACCCCAACTTGTTCTAAGGACAATTCCAGTGTCCATGTCCCACAGCCTCCTCACTGAGAAGTACAAGGAAGGCCTACATTTTCCATTGAAGCAAACAAAATCGCACAAAACCAGACATCTGAGATATATATCCTGGTTCATGGACTGGTTCATGGACTAGTCCACTCCATTTTATGAAGATTCCCAAATGACAGTGGGAAGAAGAGAAAAATGTGCTTGGCAACCCTAGTATAAGAAAGTACATATTCCCAGAGTGTCTTTGTAGAACTACAAATATAGCAATTTTTTTTATTTGATTATATTATTATTATATCCTGGATGCTATTGCCTATTAAAGTATCTCAAATGGTTAAAATATAAATTTACTTATCCTGGTTTTGTTTGAAAATAGAGTTATTTGAAAATACTAATAGGTTAACAGAATTTTTAAACTTGAAAATATTCTGGGTTATGTTTAAAGTCCCAACTCTCTCTCTCTCTCAACCCAAAGTGCGGACCAAGACCCAGTCGGTAGGTGACCCTCTAAAATTTACTGAACCAACTGGCACATAGGTCTCTCTCATCTCCGGTCCAATAAAATTTTTGTGTTAGAACTATTCAGAGATATAGTCTGAATATCTTATCTTTCAGACGAAGACAATGAGTCACTGTTCTTTTTACCACATCATGGGGTAATTTCAGTTCCTCATTCCATAAAACAATGAGACATAGAAAGAAAAACAGAGATACTGCGTACATCTGCCATCGTGGAACACTCGGGCAGGGGCCTGCAGAATGCACGTGCTTTCTCTAGGTAAGGCAACATCTTTAAATCTGCACAGCAACGAGACGCAATGAAACCCACCTTAAAGACTTCCATCTGTCTTTCTCTATATGATTTTCAGGTCCTTCACTCTCATAGGAAGCCAGGTACAGAGCTACAATCAACCAAAAGTAAGAATGCATTAACACTGAAGCCTTCTCCTGATAGATTACTTACCACCACCCATCCCCTGTTCAACCTGAGCCACACCCTACAGCAAACACTCTCCTTAGCACATCATTTATGACTGAAAAGCATCATACTTTCATTAAGAACCCAGAATATCACTTTGCCTCTGATGGACCATCTCAACAAAAACTCAAGGGCCTCTAGGCCAAAATGGAACTTAATTAACTATGAGACAATTTATGAGGCAAAAAAAGGCTTACAAATGCAAGCTACATGATGCCATCACACACTCACATTTATGTTCTTTACAGAGAAGGGGGTGGGAGTGGGAATCACTCCTGGTGGCCTTGAATTTTTTTTTTTAAGCCTTAGGTGAAAAGCTAGATTTCAAGGCCAATTTTTCATCTCTCTAATATATTTTCTTATTTTTAAATCAAAAAGCATCTTCATCCAAAGATGTAAAAGCTTATTATTAACGCTACATAGAGGTCTAAAATGATCCAGCCCCTTCTAGAATGGTAATATTAATTCAAAATGTTCATCGGTCATTATCATAGGAAATTATTAGTTAATAATACCATAGGACATTATTAATTGATGCTACTGATTTCTATAGCATCAGGATATGACAAATTGATAGAATGATAGAATAAATCCCCAATTCTTTTATAAACTTAACTCTCTCTTGGTCAATTTTTTTCTATACACTGTCGATCAACTTTATGTGCCTCACATCCTCCAATGTTTTAACAGGTTAAGACTTTCCACTACTTTTTCAAACAGCAGGGGGAAGCAATTAACTGTTTGTTTGGTTACTCAAATTACCTTCAGTATCAACATACCACAAACACCTTACTTTCTCCATCAAAGCAAGCCCAAACAAGGGGTGTGTGTGTGGTGGTGGTGGGGGGGGGGGTCCTTCAAAAACTCTCCACTGATGCCCAAACTTCTGCAGATCTCACATTATAAAGACTGTTTAAACCCAGAAACATACTGGTTATGGGTGAATATTAAGTGACTGTGTGGAAAATATGTTAGGGATAAATCATACGGTTTTCTGTGCAACAGAAAATTCTTAAGATGGAATAGGTCAGAAGATAGGCCTCACACTATCTGAACAACCAGGCACCAAGCACCTGTACACTAACTTCCCAGCTGCAGGGTCTGGGGAAGCGGGTGGCAGGCCCAGCCGACCGCCTACTCACAGTCTTCACTGAAGACGGGAACGGTGAGCAGATACTGCAAGATCTTCCGGTCCCTCTCAAACGGACATTCCACTTGTTTCCACGTCATAAATTCACTCACTTGTTTGGCCAGTTCCCAAAATTTCTGAAAAAGAATCAATTAAAAAATTTAATAACAGTCATCAAAAATTATAAGCTTGGAAGAGCCAATTCCATTGAATGTCTTTCTCTGGCTTCTAATCTTTTGAACGATGTAGTGTTCTTAATTTAATACAAACTAGGTACAGGTAAAAATCGACTCAAGTACTTCCGCATGATTAGTAATAATACTGCAGCTAATTTATTCTACTCAGTAGTCTTATTTTCTTACAAAATATAGGTAAAGAGAAAGCTGGTTCTAGAAGTTCAGGATCAGCTTGGCTGTCCGGCCTGTCGTGCTGGGGAAGCTCCCCTCTCGGGGTCCAGATTTTTGACACGTACCTCAAAGTTGACATGGCCGTTTGGGAGGCGGTTGGCACAGCCCTCGTTGAGGAAATAAATATCTTTGATTAAAAGACTGAAGAATGGAATCACAATCTAAAGAAAACAAAAGATTCTGGTTTGTTTGGGGCAAATAAACACTGAGCCTCTTATCAAACAATACGAGAAATTAATGAACAACATTAACTCTGGATTACATAAAAGGCCAGACTGAATGAAGATACAGTATTTTGCTTACCTCCCATGACAGCAGTTCCCTCCCTAACGTAATTTTGCTTGAGACACAAATGCTATTAATAACCAAACCACAGCAAAGACAAGTAGCATTGGAAAGTAGATGGCTTCATGTTATTCCTACTTTTCTCAACGCAAGAGCATATAGTAAAATCTGGAAGTTCTAACTATGATCAAGGGGAAAAGATCTAATAGAACCTCGCTTTTCATCTAGCGAAGTATTCACGGAATACCCGTCATCACAGGTATCAAGACGCTAAGATGTGTGACAATCTCCTTGCTAGAACGTGTGCTGTTGTATCATTTAGACTTCCACCTTTTAGATGACTTTTCTGGGGATGAAGATTTTGTTTTACTCCAGAAGAGCTCTCACTGCTCAAGGTAATGTGAGACCTCGGAGTTTTAGCTAGTAGTTGCTACAAACTACCCATTGAGTAAACCTGGCGTTGGGATGACAGAACAAGTTCACACTTGGTCTCCTGGGAAATCACCGAAGAGCACCTTACACAATATGCTGTGAGATGCGTCCAAGCGAAGGAGGAATATAAATGTGCATCTTAAAATGAATGGTTATTTAAAAAACAATGAGCCTTCTTTAGTAAGACTTTCCTGCCTCGCATCTTTGGTTTGATGAGGTGGTATTTAATTAACTAACCTAAAATAGTAATAATGTCTAAGAGTCCCCCTAAATCCTACTAAGCCCCTACTGAATAAAGAACAAAGCTCAGACACAGTAACTTCCACTTTTCTCAAATGCCAACATGATTTTAAAGATTCTAAATTGCCTGCAATTCACACAGGGCTCCAAACACAAACTGTGGGCCAGTGTTGCTTTCCAAGAGCAGGTGTTTAAAGTTTCCCCAAGTTTATGACCCGTGGGATACCCCTAAACTAAATGAATGGGAGGTCTTTGACACACATTTTGGCTCATACCCCAAAAAGTAAGTATCAATTTCCACTTCTAGAGACAAATTCGGTTTTTCCCCTAAAGCCATTTAAGAAAAGAAAAAAAAAAAGCTTTAATTATTTTTTGTTTCATTGATCTCTGAAAAGTGAATTTCAGTTCTGATAGCCTCATTGAATATACTTTGAATCACTTGCTATTGTCTGTAGTGGAAATCTCTTAAGCTGAATTATTAACGATCCCCCTCTCCTTCAAATGTTACTAATGTTTCTGTTAATTTTAGAATTAAACAGACACAGTGCCAATGACAAAAGCACATCTAAACCTTGCTTCTTAGAAAAACCGTTTGTGACTGGGAAGTGCTGGACTCTGGACTTTGTCAGGTAGCAGTTAAAAATCTGGCTCTGCAATTTGCTGGCAGCCTGAGCCAGGGGTCTGCAAACTGTGGCCCCGGCCCGGCCCCGGCCCAATACCTGTTCTGGGATAGCTTAAGAGCCCTATAGTTTACAGTTTTAAATGGCTGGAAAAATATCAAATGATAATATTTCATGGGCATGAAAATGATATGATTTCCAATTACAGCAGCCATTGAGCTTTGCTGGAAAACAGCCAGGCTCCTGCACCCACGTGTCGCCTGTGTGTGCTTTGTGCTACGTATCGGAGTTCAGTAGCTGCAACAGAAACAGTATGGCCCACAAAGCCTAACATATTTTTGATCTGGTCCTTAATGGAAAAAAATTGCCAACCCCTGGTAAAGCCTAACATACTAAGAAAGTCTAGTGTCCTCGCCTTAAAATGGAAACAGCAGCAACAACCTCATTGAGTTGGGATAAGAATTAACTTAAATAATACAGGTTTGACTTCAGTGATACTCCCAAAAAAACAATGGGCCCCATACAAAGGGACAGATATATTACTGATGCACTTAAAAGACAAGACAGCATCATCACAAGGCAGCCGCCGGGAAATGAGGCAATATTATAACCGAGATGCAGTCTTCACCTGGGGTAACAGGCTTTAAGCAAGAACTCCATGTCTGTGTTCTGTTTTGTAGTGCTGGGCTGTGAGAGTCATAGGGTGCTGATAATGTACTGTCTCGTGCTGATATTTAAACATTTCATAAGTTCATGCCCTGTACCCCTTGTTGGGTGTCAAAGGCTATACCTTTTGGGATTTTTGCATTCAGGGTGCCTGCATGATGCTCCACTACTAATTCAATCACTTTTCCAGAAAAAAAGTCTTCTTCACAGTCTTCTTCAGCTTCTCATTGACTCATGGGTAGTTCCCTTCGGCTCTCTAGGTCCTATCTACGTCTAACACAATTCGAATCAGGAGGGTCTAAGGGCTTGGTGTTCCCGTGAGCTACGGTGAATGTATGGGTCACTAACAGGAGAGAGGAAAGGTCTGGTTTCTAGGAGATCTTGCCAACGATGTCTTTCATGGGAGAACTTCTCAAATAATAATGTTTTTCAATTCCCTCTCAGAATGTCCTCAATTCAGAGACTCAGCCACTACACCTTAAAGGCATCATCAGTTCCACACCTAGAAATGCAGGCTGATGAGCATGAACAAGTTCCCACCATCACAAGGAGAATGGTAAGAGCATGTATAAGCATACAATCGCATCAAGAATGGTTAAAAACCTGGAGAAGCTAGGTCCCATAGGGAAAAAAAAAAAAAACTATCTGAAGATCATTTAATTAAGGCCCTTGAGTGGAAGACATTTGATGTGTTTATGATGTAGTACAGATGAGCCACTTTGGCCACATGAACTCGAGATCTGCAAGAATACCTAAGAGTCTATTACTCCAGTCCTATGGCCAGGAATGTTTTAAAACAGGAAATTAGGCACAAAGAGCGTTCACCCTCACTTCCAAAAAATAAATGAATAAATAATTCCAATTTTCTTGCATAAAATTTGGATTTTATCTAGAAATGTTTATATTCACAGCCTTTACGACCAATTGTGAAAAAGAAACAGTATATATTTTTTAATGGTGGTGATTTCACTTGTTTTATGAACTAAAGAGTACAATCCATATGCTCACACAGAACTGGTTTAAAAAACAACAAAATTAAATAGGCAGAATTTATTAAATGATGTAGAGGGTAATACCTTGGTAGTATTTATTTTTTCCTATAAAAAGCTATTAGACGCCCACAAGTATAATATTCAATGAGGTTTTTGGGGGGTGGGGGTGAGACTTCAGAATTATTTTGGCCAGTGCCACAGCTCCACGCTAAGACACGATTCTGCGGCCGCCTCACTGAGGCTCAGCCCACAAACTCTCAGGGGGGCCTTGCAGACAGGCAGGGGGAGACTTGCACCCAACACGCGGAGACGAATGAGAAGCTGCCTACAGCCTCCAGATATGTCCTCACGCTTCAGGGTGCTGGGATCCTCCCAGGCGTGTGCTCGTTTTCCAAAGCTCGAAAAACTTCTGATTAGATCTTTTCCCAGTCTAGTCAGAGGAGTACAGGCACTCGGGGAAGTAAAACTAAAAAGCTGGTGAACGCCACGGGCCTAAGTCAGAAAGTGAATTATGCTTCATCCCCTCTCTGACTTTGTTTCTTTATTTAAAGAGAAGCCAATGTATTTACAGTATCTGTCCAACACGATCAGAATTGCTACTTCAGATTTTGTCGAGACCCAATTTAGCCTTTACAATGGTGGGGGTTATTTTTGCATTTGTTTTTGCTTTAGATCACTGAGACGGAAGCTTTCTGGGGGGTAGAAATAACAGAGATGCCCTGAATTGTTTTTACCTTCATTTTCCTCTATGTGTTGAAGATGCAGTTTAAGTTAAAGGATGAACAGAATCTGTGCACAAAATAACTGTGATCACCCAACTTTCATCAGCCTTCACCACGACCAGGTACCGACTTCTCAAACAACTCGATCTCCAAGTGTCCCAACAACTTATCATTCCCATGCAAGGAAATAGGACATCGAAACGTGCCAAGAAAGGACCCTCAGAGTCAAGAGTCTGGTGCACCCAGACAGCATGGTTGTGCAAGGGTTGGGGCAAACAGAGTGAGAATCACTCATTCCTCAGACATCATTCTGTTCTTTTCTGCCACCCACATAGCCAGTGAGTAATAGCAGGCCTAATGCTACAGCAACGACCTACTTTCTGAAAATAAATGACTTAACCATGGGAGGTAAGCTGATGCTTTTAATTGAAAAGGTTACATTAAGTCAGCTACCATGTGCAGAGCTTAAATATCTATTTTCCATTCAACTAAATTACTCTCTAATTCTATTAGTCATCTTAACACATGACTTAACATATGACTTAATTTATTGCTTGAAACGCAACTAAGACCCATTACAAAATAATCATTTAAATAATGCAATAATAACACAGTAATACACATTTGCAAAGTCTACCCTTTCCCTTCCTCAGTCCAACTTGCCTTCATGGCTCCCCGTCCCTAGAGGCAAGCGATACAATGTCTCCAGTGTATCAGGGCTCTTAGATGTGAACAGGTGAAAGAAGCTGTACACCAGTTCACACTCTTTTCAGTGCAATGCATGGCAACTCCTGCACGAATAAAACTTCTTTAAACACATACCTTCTCTCTGCTACTGTGGGCAGTTAGTGACCTTTGTGCTGCCCCACGGAGAGCCGTTCGGTAATTGTAGAAATTACTGGAAGGGTCCATCTGATGCTGTGGACAAAAGAAAGGAGAGTTTGAACAATCTACTTCTCACCTGCAGAAAGTATACAAGATCCTTCTTTTAACTCTACATAAAAAATTCAAAAGAATTAGGGAATTCATTAAGAATGTCATTTATCTCTCTGATAGACACACACATAGGCATAAAACACATAAGAACACAAATGTGTTCTTTCCTGAAGTTTGGTTTATTTATTATACAAGCTGATGTCAGCTTCGATAATGTTAAACCCAGACCGAATTCCTTCCAGGTTAAATGTTGAGTTCAGACTTAAAACAGATAACTACGAGTCAAACACCAACATGGGAAGCCATGCCCTGGTTTCATTTGAAGGTTGATGTATCAGTGGATGGTTAGCCATCACACAGTGATCCCATGCTCTACAGTGAACTTGTGCTTTGCTGTAGGTAACAAATCATTAACAAATAATTGGGGCATTCTACCTTATGAGAAGGAAAAGAAGTTTATTACGCAATATGAATAAGGCAAAATGTAACACACCCAATATTAATTCCTAATTTGGGGGAAATTTTAGGGAAAAAAAACACGTTCTCAATATCTCCAAAGATAGTAGATTCAAAGCACCAACACCAAGGTGATATGACTAAGCCTTACTTTACTGTCCTGAGAGCTAGATGGAAAGGGCATTTTCACAGGTTAGTGAAATTTGTTGAAAGGATGGAGAATGAATATTTTGGGGGGGACGGGGAACTCCTCCCTTGGGACACAGTAAATAAATAAAGTTAGTAGGCAAACACTGAAGTCAAACTCCAAATGGTTCGGGACCCAAATTCTGCCCTGACACACCACGTGAAGTGGCTGACAGGTGGCCCTTCCTTCAGTCCTCTCCATGAAGAGGCTGGTCTCCAACCTGATTCCGCCTCCTCCAATTCTACCCCTTTCCTTTCCCAGGATCTCTAAGGTGGGTTTTCTTCTGTGTAGAACTATCTGATCAAGAGGCCAGATCACACAGAAGAATTTGACTGTCCAGGTATAAAATGCTACTTAGCGAAAATAGTGAAACGTCAGCTTCACATACCTCAAGAATGTCAAACTTCGCCGTCTTCACTTTGGCCCAGGTTTTCTTGAGTCGAGACACGGGGCTCATGTTCATGCCAGCTTCCCATTTAAAATGGAGAGGGGGGGAAAGAACGTTGAGAGAGAGAAATAAGAAAATTCGTTCTTATATTCTGAAAAAGTGTTCACTGCTTAAGTGTAAGTGAAAAAGTGTTCACTGCTTAAGCCGCCAGTTTCACAAAACAGCAGTGACATTTCACCCTCCCACCAATAACATCTGGAAGTTCCATTTGCTCCACAGCCTCACCGATATTGGCACAACCTTTTCAATTTCGGTCATTCCAGTGGGTGAAGTGGTATTTCACTGTGAGGTTAATTTGCATTTCTGATGACTAATGATGTGGGTGGAGTACCTTTTCATGTATTTATTATCCACTAGTGTGTCTTCCTTTGTGAAATCTATGTTCAAATATGTTGCCCTTTTTTTCACAGGGTTATTTGTCTGACTACTGATTTATAGAGTTCTTTATAGATTCTAGATACAAGTTCTTTTTCTTTTCTTTTTTTTATGCTCACCCAAGGACATTTTTCCATTTTTTTGTTCAGATAGAGTGGGAGGGGGAGAGAGAGAGAGAGAGAGAGAGAGAGAGAGAGAGAGAGATCGACCGACATGAAAGGGATATATCGAGTGGCCGCCACCCGCATGACGCAACCAGGGCCGGGGACACTGCAACCGAGGTAGGCGCTCTTAGTGGGAAACGAACCCGGGTCTCTCTGGACCGCTGAGCCAAACCGGCCAGGGCACAAGTTCTTTTTCAACTACACATATTATAATTATATTCTCCCATGATACGGCTTGTCTTAACATTTTCCTAATGGTATAAAAGGAAAAATAAATACTAACTGTATTCCATGAATTCTCATATACTAAAGTTAAGTCATCATCTGTTGCCTAGACTGTAGGCCTTTCAGGGCCCTGCTTAGGTATCATCTGTTCACTGTTTGCTTGGAGTGAGCAAAGAGCTGAAACGTGGCCAGTATTTTTATGAGAAAGATAAAGGGGGAGTGATATGAAAAGAAGATGGAAAGGGAAACTGGTGAGAGGAGAAATGTCTTAGGCCCAAAATTACGCAATTAAATTAGGTGGGTTCTCTGGCTTCAGACAGTAAAGAGCCAGGAAAATATTCCAATATTTACTAAGTATCCGCAATGCGTAGGACAGCCATATCATTTATCATATGAATTAGGACACTTTTTAATAAAAAAGTTCATTGTCAATCAATGTGGCAAGACAACAGGTGTAATTTGGGAAAACTACTGTTACCCATGCTCAGTGTTGACAGGATGACTGGAGGGACACATGGCCGTGGGCACTTAAACCCCCATGATGGTGAGGATGGCGAAGACTGTGTTCCAGGCAATAAGGTATGCGTGGATAGGCGCTAGGAGACTGGCAGTCAGAAAATGTTCTAGTTTCTCAAGCCACCCTCTTGTCCCTGCTGATGGCATCATAGCATTTAGTCTCAGATCAGCTATTTCTATAATGCTGGATACATAAGCTGCCCAAACACTGTGCTTTTTTTGGTTTTTTGTTTGTTTGTTTGTTTTTTCACCCAAGGACATTTTTTTGCATTTATCTTCAGATAGAGCAGGAGGGAGATGAGGGGGGAGAGAGAGCGAGAAACATCGATGCGAGAAAGACATCGGGTGGCTGCCACCCACACAACCCCAACCAGGGCTGGGGACAAACTGCAACTGAGGTACATGCCCTTAGGGGGAACCAAACCCGGGACTCTCTGGTCTGTGGGGTGGCACTTGAACTGCTGAGCCAAACTGGTCAGGGCCCAAACACTTTTTAAACACAATTCAGACAAATATCTCACTTATAAGCTTTTATAGGTAAATATTTAGATGAGGATAAAGTGACTATGTTCCATGAATTTTTGTATCCTTATAAAAGATTATTCACACATGTACCCAAATTTAGGTATGTTAAGCATCCTGGACATTCTAAAATAATTCAGGATCAAAAAGTACAGTTTCCATTAACAAAACTGTACTATTTGGAAATGTTCAGTGGATACATTTCACAGGACCTATAAAAATAAAGGACGTGTATCTTGCAGAAAACACTTACAGATTATTGCCATCAAGGAATTGAAGTTGCCAATGTTAAAACACTCCCGAGCGACGTCAATGAAATACTCGATCATCCTCGCCCGGTGCTTCTTCTTCACAGGCTGTACAGAAAAAGAAAAATGAGGAAAGTTACCCAACATGCAGGCCCAACAGAGGTAAAATAGCTATGGAAAAATAACAGGGAGAACTAGGAGACAGAAATTGGCTCACCATGCAGATTTCTGTAGCAACCAAGTAGCTGAGGCGATTAAACCATTCCACATAAGCCTCTAAATTCCGTGTTTTCTTCCGTTCACTGTAGCAACTCTAAAAGCAAAGCAGAGGGAGCAGATGAGCTGTAGAGAAAGAGGGCATTAGGCTCTCATTTTTGTCAGAGGTGGGCCTTTACTCTCAGTTTATGAATTAGGAAAGCTTTATAGGAACAAGAGAGCCAGAGAAAGAGATGGAGAGGCCGAGGAGACACTAACATTCGTGACTCTCCTTACAGAACTATCAGAATCTCTTGTATATGTAGTCCAGAGAAACCCCTAATGTCTAGAAATGTACTCTGATGAGTTCATTACTGAGTTCCTCTGGGTAGAACTGCCATCAAAAACACAAGTCAGCCCAGCTGGTGTGGTCGCCAAGAGGTCGCTGGTTGGATTCCTGGTCAGGGCACATGCCCAGGTGCTGGGCCAAATCCCCAGTGGGGGTCATGCAGGGCTGATCGACGTTCTCTCTCATCGATGTTTCCATCTCTCTCTCCCTCTCCTTTCCTCTCTCTCTAAAATCAATAAAGAAAAAAAAATTGTTTTTAAACAACAAAAAACACACATCAAAGACGGGCTCTGGCTGCATTCTAAGACGTCTTGCCTGATGCATGGGCGTGAATACCAACTGCTACCAACACCGCAAGGAGAAGCCGAGAGTGCCAGAGACCTGAACATTTTTTCTCAAAATTAAGTCTAGAACAAAGTTTTGGAGCATTATATAGCACTAACTAATTATCTTTCAAGGTAGAGAAATGGAAGTCTATACTATGATGGTCCTTACAAGGGTGAATAACATACTGTTCAAAAACCAGAGGAGTTCAGCTCATGTCAGAGTTCAAGGCCAAGCTTGAAGAAGTTAATTACACCCCTCTTTCCTTCCTTCCAAAAGAAAAAAACACACAAAAATGTCCACTAACTGTCTATTGATTGCAAAACCAAATCTTCACTTCCTGTACTGCGGGAAACTATTCTAAGGCCGGAAAACAGCTGTTGTCCCGACTCCCAAAGGGGAGTTTTCATTAGCGAGTGATGCAGTCTTTGCCTAATAATTTGAAATGCCTCTGAAGGTCACTAGGGAAAAAAATTTCTTGTGTGTACACTGATTTTACAGTCCACATGCCCAGTGTTATTTTCCTTACATGTGGGGTTCGCTCGGGCAGTAAACCGTTCGTGAGGGATTCGCTGTGACACAGGCCAGTCGAGACCCTCCCTCGCCACGCTGGGTGTGCGTCCTGTTTTCACTGTCCTGGCTACTGTTGAGTCATGAGCAGAGCATTCTCTTGTATTTTCTTTCTCACTTAATCTGCTAAAACCATTATGCTCATATCTCCTAACTTCATCACCACAAATGCCTGCATCTACTTGCTTGTTAAAATTTCCCAAAACAGAGGAAGAAGAGGCTCAAAGTTGGTGAGAGACAGGGAAAGAATACCGTGAAGGCACTTGGACACCTGATGCAAGGAAAATGCAATGAATCAGACCTGGCTAATGAAATCTGTGTTTTCAATTTGCTTTTAAAACCTAGACCAAAATAGTTCCAATTTCTGTCTCCTACACTATCATAGGCTAAGGAGTTCCATTTCTTTTTTGTAAATACTTTTAAATGATTTTAGAGAGAGGGAGAGAGAGAAACATCGATGAGAGAGAGCAACATTGATCGGCTGTCTCCTGCACACCCCCTCCTGGGGACTGAGCCCACAACCTGGGCATGTGCCCTGACTGAGAATCTAACTAGTGACCTCTTGGTGCATGGGCCGATGCTCAGTCCTCTGAGTCACACCGGCCATGGCTAAAGAATTCCACTTCTGATTTTGGAGCTGACCTGTGAGTGGACTGATTACCTTGTCATTGTCCAAAGGGTCCTTCTGCACAAATGCCTGAACAAATTCTTCTGGTCCGATGTAATTGAGCCTTTCCTGGAACACAAACCCAGCAGGTCAACAATATTTAAAAATTGCGAAGGAATGGACTTTCAACTATCTACTGACTTTTGGCACAATCCCCATTTCTTTACGCAGCATGTAAAATGAGCCTTTAGCCCCGAGCAGAGGCAAAGTTCTGCTTAAGTCAATGCTACAGGAGATGGTGAAAGGCTAACCGAGTTGCAGAAAAATTAATTAGAAGGGTAAGTTAAGGGAGGTCAATCAACTCTTTCCTTTTCAGACTTTGTATTTACTTGAAAGTGAATTCCCAGAATATCAGAAACATTCATACTCAAACATCTAAACAAAACCCATTCCAGCTATTTCACAGATTTGTTTCCATTTGGATTGTTCTGAGCTCTCCCGTGACATTACTACTTCAAACACGCTGTCTGGTTGCCACAGCAAACCAGGTCTGTGGCCATAAAGCACAGGACAACAGTAATCTTACCAGCTCTATGTGAGTCAGCTGCTGGGCCAGCGTGTAAGGGTCACTGCAGACAGTGATGATGTCCCTTTGTATGGACTGTGGCTTGGTCTTGAGGACGGTGAGCCGATCGGTCGTCGTGGAGCTGATTTTTGCCAGGACTTCCTCGTACTGGCTGAGGGCAGCAAGTTTGCGGATTAGACACTGGATCACCTGCTGGACGTTCTTCCTATAAGTCTGCGGGGGAAGAAGCCACGGATTACATCCTTGCTCTGCAAGTCTATTTCACTACTATGCAAACTCACAGACCATGTACTTAAATAATGGTGGAGAACCACCTTGGCCCAGGGCAGTTACAGGAGGATTCAGCCAAGCTCTAACAGTTTAAAAGAGACACATACACAAAAGGTGTCTCTTCAGACTTGTGAGATTTAGTCCTTTAACTGGGCTGCTCTAAGAACCACAGGTAACTAAATGTTCCCTGGGCTGCATCAGAAGGCATTGGGTTAATTTCGGTGGATTAAAATGCATTGCTCTCAAGTTAGAGCATCCTTTTCCTAACATGCTTTCTTTCGGGCCACCTTCATGATTTCCCTACTTTTAACATTTCCAGTCTCATAGTCCAAGGGCATTAACAGCTACCTTACAGAAACACACCATTACTTCCCATTCACCCCTCAACCACCTTCCTGACTTCTACACATAACATAGGTGACCACAAGGAAGCACTGCGTATTCATTTCTGGTACCCAACCTCTGCCTGACTCGTGTCCATTTCTCCTGCTTCCCTGAATCAGTACTCAAGTTCACAACCAAATTTGTCCTCACGGCAAGTCTCCCTGTAATGCCACCACCACCTGCCACCTTGCTCGCTACTACATTATGCTTCGGCCATAACACTTAAGAGAAGCTGGTTTTCAAAGCAATGCCTGTATTATCAGTAAGTGTCAACTCCGTGCCTTTTAAAACACTTGTTAAGTCAAAGAAATAACTTCACAATCAACAGATCTCTGGGGTGCAGTTATCAATGATGTAAGTTATGGAGTTTTCAGTCTCCCTTTTCTACCCCAAATTGCCAAACAAACACCAGTTGTCCTTCTGGGTAAGGTATGAGGCCACATAGGAGCACATGGGCCGCCTCAACGCTAGCACAGTTCTCGGTTAACAGCTCCGAAGGGGGACAGTCCCAGTGAATCGGCAGAAGCAGAAGAAAGGCCTGTTCACACTTCACGGCCTAATCAGGTCCTTTCTAAAAGGTTATCACAAAACCACTTCCTGAGATCAGGTATCTGAAAACTAAATGGCATCTTACTTACAAGTGTAAGAACCACAGTATTTCACAGATGCAATTTGGTTACCATAGCCTATTACAAAAACTCAAATGAACAGATATTTGCATACTTAAGCCAGGAAAACCACAGCTTCTCTTTCTTTTCTTCTTCTCGACTTCCCTGGTGTATATGCCACCGAGTTCTTTAAACTAACCCATTAGATGACACTTCTTTCTCTCGACAGTCACAGACCATGCTGAAATCACTAATGAAACACCTAAGTGTTTGAAAACATTGTACCTTAGAAAACCTACCTTCCCCACAGCATTAAGATGACCAGTTTAGAATATACTATCTGTTGGGTAATATGTTTATCACAGAAAGAAAATGCCTCTTTCTTTGGAATTCAAAGTAGTTCAAGGCTGAATTAGGTGCTATTTCAAATCTTGTGCGGGAGGTCATGGGGGGGTGCTAAATGAGTAAGGAGGGTGGAAAGGTACCAACTTTCTGGGGATGCAATGTGCACCATGGTGACTATAATTAATGATCTTGTTTTGCATATTTGAAAGTTGCTAAGAAAGTAGATCTTGAAAGTTATCACAAGAAAGACATTTCTGGAACTCTGCACGGTGACAATTCTGAATCCTGGACAGGCTTATTTTGGTGATCATTTCACAATACGGACATGTTAAATCACTTTGTGTATACCTGAAACTAATATGATGCTTTATGTCAATTATACCTCAATAAAAAGAAATAAGTAGATATCTCTCGTGCCTATTTCCCTTGCCTCTTTTACTTTCACAGTCTTGAGTTTACAATAAAAGTTTATGAACTTAAAATGGTTTCTTTGGTCTTCTGTTCCAACTGTCATAATAAATGCTCTCTAGGGGGTTCTGACACACAGTAAGGGTGAGAACCGATGCTGCACTGGTGTGCCTGGTGACAGACCCCTGCTCCACACATGAGGGAAGGGGTAGAGTGGAAGGTACCGTCGGGTATTTAGCTAGTGAGCAAACACAGCAAAGCGTAAGGGGAAAATGTGTACAATAGAGGGAAAGCTATTCAAATAACAAAGAACTAGTCTCTTTCTGTGTGTGTGTGCGTGTGTGTGTGTGTGAGAGAGAGACAGAGAGAGAGAGACAGAGAGAGACTGAGAGACAGACCACATATATGTATGTGTGACCTCTTCTAAGTTTCCTTCAACTATTTGATTCCTTAAAAAACCAAGCTCTGTGTTGTTAAGCATGCTTCCTCACTGAGTCATGAATTGCTAAATATGTACTTACTCTTTTTTATAACTTCAAATGCCAGTGACAGTAATTGCCTGGCAAATTAAGATGGAATAACGACCGGCCCCTTAAGGAAGGGAAAACTGCACGCTGCCCACGACAGCCATCTGTCACGTACTTCACTCCTTCGTTTCATTGCATGTGTCTTACAGGCATGTCCTAATAAACCACTTTAATTTGGGCAAATCCCCAGGGGGGAAACATATTAAGCCAAATTATGTGGAACTGTCCTAGCAGATTCGAAGAACTTGACTAAATTATATATATGGGGCACACCTGGATTCACTGACTGCCAAAAAATTCTGTAAAGTCCCAAGCAAGAAGCAACAAGTCCCAACCCCAGCCCACGCTCCTTCCTGTGGAGGGAAATGATTTTTCAGTGGAGGAAAATATTGTTTGCCTATTCCAGTAATTGAATAGTTCATTCGTTCATTCATTCAAACAGTACCGAGTCCTATTAAGTGCCAGGTACTGAGCTGGGAGTCCAGGGTACAATAATGAGCATAGAGGGCAAAGCATGGGGTCCAGTAGGGAAAAATAAGCTGTAAAAACAGCAGGTATTTACTAATCACAGAGTACTTGAAGGAAACGGTGGAAACCAATAATGTGGTGGTGGGGGGGGGGGGGTGATGAGGGAAGGTCTCTCTGAGGAGAGACACCTAAGCACATGACAGGTACGTGGTGTACCAAGCAAAGAACTGAGGAAAGAGCATCCATCACAAAATTTTAGAGCTGAAAGGGACATTAACACAGGGCGGTCACCTCTATGATTTATTGTAATGAAGAAGGAGCAAGGAATTGAAGGACTTGCCAAAGCACCTGCAGATCAGCCAGCTGCCAAGTGCGGGCCAGATTCTGAACACTGGACGGAAACAGAAGGAACAGAAAACCCAACCTGATCAAGGCAGGTGCCACCTCTCCATTCAATCCCCAGGCTAAGCAATTCCTTGGGTAGACTTGGCTTATGATCTCATCTCTTTTCACACTCAAGAGCATCTGAAAACCTCCAGGTTTATCGAAGACTTGTTATAACAGGAATGCTGGTAAGAAGCCAGTCACAGGGCTGTTTGGCCCCTTGCACAGTCCATCCAACCCTTGAGTGGCCCGATCTTGTTAAAAGAAAGGTCCAACTGGCCGCACAGATAGAAACGATCTCCCTTTCTCCCATGACAAGGACAAAACCATCCATTTGGCATTTTCAAAACACTTTTCATTAGTGTTGATTAGAAAAAGGTGTTCCTTTTGGAAAGGACTAAGTCAGCATTTCTACCTTTTAAATAAGCAGTAGAGGGAAGGTAGTGACTGCCATATCTAGAACCCAAACACAACGAAACCAGAAGCATCAACGGACTCAGAGCTTGGCCTTCATATAAGAAAAAGTTCTTATGAAGTCACTAATCTGAGCAGCTTGTTATAACACCAAGTCGCTGGGCCCACACTGACCCTGCCGAGCCCTCTCAAAAAGTATTTACTACAAAAGTGAACTGTGATGCTTAACTTTTGCCTTTGTGAGTGAGGGGCTTACCAATTAATCATTCCTTGCTCGAACCTGTCACACACAAACTGGAAAAATGATTATAACAGACGCGACTTGCAGAACGACTCCGGAAACCGCTCACGCACCGTATGGAAGTACTGGCTGTCTGCAGCGTCGTATTCAATACAATGTCACCAGGAAACAGTGAAAGGGTTCCATTTTGTTTCCACGAGAACACAATGGGGAAAGCAAGGGCACATTTTTCAAGTGCTAATCGTATAAAATTTTGTTCTGATATATTTTTTTAAGTCAGGGGAAACTGTATTAAAATGTAGTCGTGAGAGGTAGACAGACAGAGTAGATACAGTGTCTTGCCCCGTGGTCTTTACAGCACACCACTGAAAGACTGAGTTCTCAAGGAAGGTGACCCGTAAACGGGACTTGCATTACAAGACGAATGAATCAAGTCATTGCTACGACTGCCAAGCGCTTTGTCTATCCTTTCCTATGTGAAAACGTTGTACCTGTGCCGAGGTAACTTGTTCCCAGGAGCTCACCAGCTACAGAGAAACTACAAAGATCTTTGCCCAACAAGCCTCAACACAGAACACTAGCCCTCCAGGCCAGCTTCAAAGAGGATAACCTTGAATTTGTCACAGCTAGTTAGCTCTTATCAAAGGCTCACCTGAGGGAAGCAATATTTATGAAAGATGATCTCAGAGACTTACATTCCGGCTCCACCTAGGGTAGGTGCTAGCCTCCAAGCAACTCCCAGGCTGATATCAGATGGATGACCTGGACCCTCTCCTCTCACAAAGAATCACCTTTGCTATTTTACACATTAATCCTACAGCCTCCATTTTTTATCGAGGGGTATTTGTTATAAACACTATCCAGAGCAGTCTCCTGGACCTCATTCTATGGCCCCTGTACAAAGTCTCTCATACAAAGGTTTTTAAACATTGCATTTAATGTAATGCCTGGAAAAACTAAAATGCTTTCTTTACTGACAGGAAAAATTATATAATCAACTGTATTTCCCTTTTATCTGGACCTCATACTCAACTCGCAGCAGCCCTGTCCTATCGGACCGGTTCTCAACATTAGCCTGTGTGTTTTCTCGTTCCCATGGTATGAACTCTATTTTTACTTATAAGGTATTAATATACTACTTCTCTGTTAATATATTAATATGTTATTTTAATCTACTAGTGTTTATATCTCCTAATATATTTAATATCTAACTTGATAACTTTTTGGAAAGAAGAAAGGTATATGTAAAATCAAATTAAAACATTTGCAAGGGGGTGGGAGGAGGATGAAGAGGGTAAAGGGGGTCAAACATGTGGTGACAGAAGTTAGACCAGACTTTTGGTGGTGAGTACACATGGAATGCACAGATGATGTACTATAAAATTGTCTCCCTGAAACTTATATAATGTTATTAACCAATGTTAAACCAATAAGTTGAATTTAAAAATAAAATTTTTTAAATTAAAAGAGACAAAAAACAAACCCGCGTGTGCAACAGGCATCCTGTGCATGAATTGATGGGAACATATCCCAAAATTAATCACATAAAACTCTAGATCATACCCTTTGAAGTGGGCTTGCATAATCATCCCCATTTAACATACCAGACAGACGAATATGTTACGTAGAAAACTGGCCCAGAGGTAAAACAGGGAGCAGCGGAGATGCTGATGCCTAATTCAGCATCCTTTCCCACCGAGCTCTGCCCAGAGACTCAAGCAGTTGTGCTAAGTCAGGTTACCCACCTCCTCGCCGCTGGCTATTCGGTGAGCCAGATCTTTTAAGTTTCTCATCATTCTTTCATCCCGAAAATCATAAGGAAATGTTTCTGTCCATTCTGTCAGGAGTTGAAGGATTTTGGGTGCAATTTTTTTTATCTGGTTCTAGGGAGAAAAAGCAACAATCTAATTCAGTGATGTCTATCACCATGGACTACATCAAATAATCACATACAGTGTCACTAATAAACTTCTAGTGCAAAGTCATTGGGGTTGAAGAAGCTCTAGTTCCACCCCCCTCCCCCCGAATCAATGCCAAGTGCCACCAACTTAAGGCAGGATCAGGAATCTTCGATGGCATTAAACATATATTGTGCTCTTTATGCCGTTCCCGATCCCCTTTGCATCACCTTGATACATACGACTTATGCACCTCAGCCTGGGGGTAAGCTAGGGTTATTTAAAGAACCCAACTTCACAAAATCTACGCCACAGAATCACCAAACCTAATAGAAAAAAAAATCATAAAGTTTAAAACATATCATTACCTTATCGCAGTTAGGATCATTTAGTCTCTGGTGCTCCATACATAAGTGGCAAACTTTGGCCATTAGCTCATGGGGATGCATAAATAACCGAGAACTGAGTAGAAAGGTAAATATGTATGTTCTCTGTGGCAAGAGAAAAAAAAATCATATGGTTATATTCTCTCTGAAACTAACATGTTTCCTATATATTACACATCTTATTTCATTAAGTTCTCTCAATCAAAGTTAGTATGTTGCACTTTCCAAAGTAGTAAAACACGAGGTGGATTTCTCCTTTACCTTCTCCTGTATCTTTTCCTTTAAATCATACTAAAAATAATAGAGGTACAGGATAAGTTTAGCTGCTGCAATTATTCACAGCACATTTTCAGGTCCATCCTCTGGGAGCCAAGACATCAGGACCTATTACTCACTCTAGTAAAAAAGAATGAAACTCAGCCCAGAGAGAGAAATCCAACTAAAATATACTACCCATATAGAATCAAGTTCTGTGTCCAAATATTATGGTAATTCAATGGAAGCCCACCCCACCACCCAAAAAAAACACCCAATCCACATCAGCTCAAGAAATCTCCAGTGAGTCCAGTGTAGCACACTGATGTGTTTGTGTGTTGGGTCAGAACAGTCAAAGGCAGGCTTTCAACTCATCTATTGACTTGCTCAAAGGCTACGTAATTCGATAGAAAACAATATCACGCTATATACTTTTCTTTAACTGCATTGTCTCCCAAGAAGCCAGTAATGAAGTGGTGCTTATTTGTTATAATAGTTTCAGACTCCCACTGGAAAGAAAAATTCCATGGGTTCTTTTCCCCCACCTTGGGTGCCTTTAGTAGCTCATAAAGCCCTACAGGGTTGAACAAGGGACTCCTTTCACTTCTGATCACAAGTTTTCCCTGTGTGGCAACATATTTGAAAATGCTATGTAACAAATCACACACAGAGAGATAACTCAGTAAGAAACATTATGTTGAATTACAGTGGTGAGCACAAACTACCCTTTGCACACCAGGGTCATTATGATGTTTATAAAAACATATGAATCTACTGTCTAGATATTTTCACGAAATCATTATCAACAACTGGCTGTTGATTGGCAGGGGCAGCTGTAGCACAAATGAAGGGGGACACATCACTTGCTTCAGAATTACAAAAGCCAAGTTTGATTGCTGATACCCGGAGTGAGACCATGTGCAAATTATGAACTTGTTTTCTATTCTCCAGCCTTTGGAACTGCTATAAAGACTGAGCAAATGCAAACAAATTGCCTAGATTAGAATGCGTGATCTACACAAATATCTGTTATCAAAGTCAAACATAAGCAAACATGTCATCTGGTATCCAATCACAAAGAATTGCATCTTGAATATAACACATGTTCTCTTTGCTATGAGATTTCCCTGACTTTACTTTTCCCAGCATAGGGATGATCTTGGAAGCAAAAAGGCATTCAATATTCTGAGAGCATCCAATGTTCTCTGGAATGTCTACTTAAGGACCAAGGTATATGCTGAACAAGCCCACAGATACTTTGCTTAGATGGTACCTGACAGCCTCCAATGTGGTACCAACCCTAAAAAGAAACTGATATGCAGACAACCACCAAAATCTGAATCATACCCAGGCTCACTCCTATCTCAAAGCAGTCAGTAATCGTATGCAATTTCTTATTAGAAAAATCCTTGGCATCCCGGATATAATTCTGTAGTATGTAGGGTCCCTGACTACTAATCATAAATTCTGCTGAATTAGAACCCAAGCATGTGTTTCAGAGGCGCACGGATACCTACATCCGGATAGTAATCCACGTTAGGCACTAGGTGCTGGATGAGTGCTTCCAGAGACCCGGAGAGGAGGTTGTTGTCATGGTAATACAGCCCTCCACAGCTGTCCTCTGCAGACTGATAGAGGTTTCGGTTGTAACCACTGCTGTCAAACATTGCTGAAAAGGGAGGCGTCTGAGGCATGCTTTCCTAAAGTCAACGAGAAAGGAGAAAACACAGTGTTAGTAATATGTAGTCGGAAAGAAAAGTAAGCTTTCATAGGTACTAGGCTTTAACCGTGAGGAGGAAAAAAGCCATTTTAAAAACAGGCTAGGTTCTCATACTATATCAGAACCCCTCAAGAAGCAAATTGCTCTCTGATTTACACCTGTATGCATACTTCTGAGTACCAATCTCATTCAATCTAATACCATAAAATGCTTAGGTCAAAGGATCCAAATTCGAGTCTCTGGCTGCCATACTTAGACATCAGTCCTTCGCTTTGGGTCACTGCCTTACCCGACCACAGCAAGCACTACCCCGAGGGACTGGGCAAGCCTCCCAAGTTCACCGGGAACTATTACCTAACACTTAAGAAGTATCAGACTCGCAGTGGGCCTGGACGAGGAGATAGCCGAAGCAAAAGCCAACACAGTGAAATGGTAAGAGGCCCAGAATAAAGCGCACAGTGTGTGTGTCCACAGATGTGAGGACGTATCACGAGGTTGAAGGCCGACTCCTCAGCTTTCCCTGGAAGGTGAGATGCTGTTGATTTTCACTCCTTTCTGTCAAATTCCTTTGGGGGTGGGGAGCCCCTAGAGCCTCAGTTCTGGCACAGGGGGGAGAAGGCAGCTGACCTGGAGGAGGAGGAGCAGAGTCCTCTCCACCTGTGGGCTGCAGCTCAGAGCCCGTCAGGGTGCTCGGGGGAGACCAGAGGCTGTTCAGTCATTACTTGGATTCCCAGGGGCAAAGCTCTGGCCCTGAGAACAGACCCCGCTTGTAGCATGTCTGGACAGCGGAGGCATTCAGGAGCTGCCCAGACTGAGGTTTCAGAAACCAAACAATGAGAGGAAGCCGAACTCCAGCCTCGGGCTGACAGCAACGGGTGTGTGGAGGCTGCAGGAGGACACAACCTGGGCGAATCCTTCTCCTCAAGGTGCCAGAAGTCATCGGCACCCACCCGGATGGGGTAGGGGTGCGGAGCCCTGGCTGAGGGGACACGGCCTTCACTGCGGGGCATCCGCCCCAGCTCCAGAGAGGGGGCCACAGCCTACAGTGCGCGCGGGCGCCGGGGCAGGAGGCGGCGGGCGTGCGGCGTCCGAAAGAGCATCCATGACGCAGCCAACCTGGCAGGTCAAACAGCACTTAGGGAAAGCAGCATCCCAAAAAGAAAGAGGAAAAAAAGCTTCATTCAGCATTCTGTAGCGACCCCATCCACACACCCCCGTGCTGAGGGAGACTGTAAATGGATACCTGGAAACGCACCGACGCCTGGGAACAAAGTGACCGCGGAGACCCGCTCTGCCTGGGGAGACTGGTTAATGTCAGGGTCGTCCTTGCTGTGCCCCTCGCCGAGGCAGGGCAAGGTCATGGCCAAAGGACTGGGAACTATGGAATGTAAACGTTAGCACAAATGCTCCACACTTCGCTGGTCAGACCTCACACGCAGGATTCCCGGTTAAATAAATAACTCAGTCTTAACATTTACAAGGCCATGGACAAAGTATGTTTCTGTCCTCGTCCAGCTGCTCGTTTTCTATGAGGAAAATAACAGAATTTTTGCGAATGGGTCGTCCTCGGTGGGGAGGAAAGAAAAGAGCCCGTCTACCTTTGCCCGAAGAACCTCAAAATGTCCTTAAACCGGGAGGCGGGGACCCGAAATGAGAGGCACCTAAAAGTTACTTTTGTGCACCTGAAGGGGACACTCTATCTGGCTTAAAAAGTTTTCGATGGGTAAGACCACACAGCGTCCGCCACGTACAGGGTGACAAGGGCAAGTCACGCTGACGTGCCCAGGAGTTCCTTTTTTTCTCTGCCCAGAACCACGGGTTCCTCAGGTTCCCCACTCTCTACTCATCACTGCTGAAACCACGCGTACAAAGTGCTCTTGGGAGATGGCTGCCCAGGATTTGGGGACTTCAGAAAATGTCAGAAGTTCAAAGGGACCAAACAAATCATCCGGTCCAGGATGGAAAAGAGACTTCATTTCCCTTTCTAGCAGCAACCCAGGAGAAGTGGCCCAGGATGAGTGAGAGGACTCAGCCTGTGGTGGGCAGGTGCCTTGTTAGTAACCAGCAATGACTACCAGGCGGTCATGGAAGACTCCCAAGCCCAGTGCCGCCACCATCTGGTCCAGTCTCCTCTTTTTGTAAATGCACAAAATGAGACCCTGGGATGTGACATGAGGTGGCCACGGCCCCAGGAGAGCCCAGTGGACCTCCCCTGACTTTTGCTCCCCAGCTGCCTTGGGTTTATGAACACTAAGCGTTCATCCATAAAACAGACACGAGTCACTCAGTTCCCTTTCAAGGAGCCGGCACCAGAAGCCTCCAGGGACTTGTACATCTTAATTACATGCTCCCAGCAAGCAGATGAGCACCCAGAGCCAGACCAGGACTCAGGTTTAGTGAAGTTCTAATCTGGTGCGGAACAGCCATGAAAACTTTTACCCCACAAGCCCCACCCCAGGAGGTTTTCATCCGGAAGATGACTTCCAATTTTGTTTACCCCTTCTGAAATTCCAACAAAAGTACCAATTTCCCTCATGGCAGAGTTCTTAAAGCTTTACTAGAGCAATGGTATTGGAAACGTGTCGTGCACAGAATGTGTCTGAGGAGGTACAAAATCTCAGCACTCAGAAAACCCCCTCCAAACAGGCACCAAAAGAAAACACTGCAATGGAAACCACACCGAGGCAAGTTAACTGGGTTATGGCTTTATTATACTTAAAAATCAAGTTTAAGAAGAGAGTGTGTCACAGGTCATTCTCCGACTTCCGATTGGCCCCACGTTCTGCTGCTAATCCGCTGACCTGATTTCCCCACGGGCTGCCCTGACTGTTGAACTTGCACATAGTAACTGCTGAGATCCAAGTCATTCCAGGAGATTCCAGCCCCTTCTTTATGTATAGAGGTGAGCTTTCCTACCTTGCCATACACTCAAGACAGCGTCTTACAGTTCCTTAGGCCTCCCCCCTCCTTAGCTGTCCATTCCTGCTATGGGATCCTGTGTGCTGGAGAAGGTCTCTACGTCCCACCTCCTTTGCTTCTCAGATTCTCCCTCCAGGCCCCTCACCTGCAAAGCATGATGGGGAAGGCTCTGAGAAGGTCAGCGGCCCCGTCTGTGTAAGGCTTACCACCTACGATGCCCGTGTGCAGTCTACAACTACCCTGTTGGGCAGGCACCCTCACTCCGCTTTGACTGCATGAGAAGCTAAGGTTCGGAAAAGCTGTAATAACTTGCCCGGGGTTATACATCAGATCAGGGACAGAAAGGGCAGGGCTTCAAACCTAGGTCTTCAGACGTCAAGTTCGAAATTTATTTCACCACATCATACCCTACTTCAAGCGGTCTTCTTTGAACTTCTGATGTTTAGCCATAAAATGAAAAGCCTGTCCCAAATTGTAGGCTATTAGAAAAATTTATGTTTAACATGCTCTACATAAATCCCTGCTCCAAAGATGTATTAAGGCCACTAATTACTCTTCTTACAAGACAATACTATCTACAAAAGTGTTTAAGCTACTGACCCTTGCAATCAAAACATAGTCCCTCTAGATAAAGATTTCAGAGATCCTAATATACAATTCTTTGTATTTTAGTAAACATAGTGGATTTCCCCCCCCCAAGTATCACCCACATCAAGAACTATTGCTGTTCAGTATTACTCAGATTTCATGTCCAGGACATTAATTCTACCTGCTTCGGCTCTGAAAATGAAAAGATTCAGAAGATGAAATATTGGCTTCATTCTTGTTGAAGACAAATACAAAATCCAAGTACTGGACATGGGAATCCGGAGAACTGTATTCACCCCTGGGCACTACTACCTCCAGGACTCACTGGCTAATGGTTTCCTAGCGGACGAAGGGCTACGTGTGAGGCTCCTATCCCGTAGCTCCCATGTATTTATTTGCTTTTTTCCATTTCAGTGTCGTTCTGATTTCTTCTCATCTGCACCAAACTTCTTTACAGCTCTCACAATTAATAGTTTCTGTCTCTGGGGTCCTGTGAACTCTCAACTAACTCCTCTCTACTCTTCTGACATAATCTCGAAATCACCTTCTCCATGGTCTGACATTCTTTAGCACACATTTTGCCCAACCCAACATACCTATCCATGGGGACCTGCTAACCAAAATTCTTGTTTAGGAAAAGTGGACAATTTGCCCAAATTAGAACGTATGACAGCTTGAAGTTAAATAGTGGCATTGAGTTGACTATTAAGTCAGACTCCAAAGTAGTAAATTCCTTTGGAAAATGAGAGATGTGCCCTGGCCAGTTTGGCTCAGCAGTTGAGTGTCGGCCTGTGGACCAAAGAGTCCCAGGTTCGGTTCCTGCTAGGGGCACATGCCACACAAAAAAAAAAGAAGAAGAAGAAGAAATAAAATGAGAGATGTATGAGAGACACTTGAACTAGCTGCTGACTTCATTCAAATCACTACCAGTAAGATAAGGCAGAGGGCAGGTTAATCTACCAAGCAATGCTCACCTTACTAAATTTCATTTGTAAACCAGTTTCTGGAAACTCAGAATATATTCTATTTGGCCAGCGGCTCTTAATTTTTTTTCAGGAAATCACAAACCTCTCCCCATAAGAAATACATATACTTTCATGGAGCTCAGACCCAAAATTAGGACGCCCATGTGTTGGCCTGTACAAAACCTAGATGTTTATCTACTCTGCCTCAAGGAGGAGAACATGATGGTTCTGCAGGGAACCTTGGTCGAACACATTCGAGACTCCTCCTCAGAAATCAAGGAATACTGTATATTCAGCTAGTACCAACCATAAGGAGTTGAAGAGGATTTTAAAAAGGACACTGCTTTGGGTTTAGGCAGAGATATTTAAATAGCCATTTTCCCCTCTTAAATTGGAGCAACCCTTTTGGATAAAGAGGATGCAATGAGACATGGAAAATAGATTTTGTTTTTTTTAAACAATAAACCAGGCTAAAAAAAAGTTTAGCAACATCAAAATTAGCATGCAG